CACCAAAGGGCCGGGGTCCAGAGGCTTAAATAGCAGGAATAGGTGGATGTGATAAGAGCTAATGAGCAATGGGCAGAGCATGGCAGAGCAAAAAGGCAAAAAGATCATTATATGTAAGAACATAATATGTTTAACTGGTTGATAATAGAAATATACCAACAATGATAATATTTGTATATTCCTATTACATTCACAATTCTTCAAGAGAAATTGTTGATGATGCTGTTGATCTAAAATAAATGTGACAAAACGTTTATATGAACTTTTTGTCTGAACACATGACACATTCAGGCCATAAAGGCCTGTGGCTATGCCATATCTAGCTTTAGTTTGCATTTTGTTCCTGCTGCTTTGACTGAGTACGATTAGATAAAGATGTTAGAGGAAGGTCCATCACTGTGACTTGGGAAGACATTTGTTCATTGTTTAAGCAACTGTTTAAACTGGGTGACCATTAAGCCTTAAACAATTTGTTTCTGAAAGTCATATGTTACAGTGACTGTCTTAATAAAATCTGTCATTTAGGATGCAAACTATTTTTATGTCCTCAACATATTAATTAATTACATTAATTATTAATTAAAACTTATTTCTTTTCATTTCCCTAACAATCTGAAAGACTTAGTGATTTACCTCAGAATTATTTGGGATGAGACCTATAGCGATGTATCCTTCGGAGTTTCCACTGAGTTCAAAGGCCATGTCAACGCCGTTTGGGATGTTTATAGCAGTGGGCTTCACAGATCCAAAAAGACAGCTGCCACTGCCTGCAGGGTCACAGTCATCAGGTACCGCCAAACAAAATTTGGTCTTGCCACATCCTGTCCTGGTAATGTCAACCTAATTAAAACAAAAACACATAGCCAAAGTAAATAAACAGTCAGATTATTTAGCTGTTAAATGTTGAGGTGGAATTGATGACTTAAAGGTTTAGTGGGGGATGTTCTTTTTCCAGGTGGATCATCTAAATAAGTGTTCATCCTAAAATTCAATCCTGTTGGTGATATGTTTATGTAAGGCTTTCCTTCGTGCTCGTTCCTATTTTCAATGGTGAGTCTGACATAATGAAAAAATTGCTAATCTTCTTTTGGAAAGTAAGGTGGTATGAGCGATGAAAACAGCAACTTTTAAACAGAGGGTGCACAAGGAGAAATGGGCTTGTGCATGCTCATGCACACGTGCACGTGTTTAATAGGCATTCCGTCTCAGGAGCGCGTACAGAGTTGAGCATGTGCATATTTTTTTAAAACTAGAGATGATTGCTGGTCTTTTCAAAAATTCGTGAAAAACCTCCACTATACCTTTAACTGACCTAGTATCCTTAATGTGAAAATATAACAGCATAGATGAAACTTTGAATTAGTCAAACTTATAAGAAACTATTACACAGAAGACTGTTTTTGTCAGGACTCCTGTCTTTGTGTTTATGTTACTTTCATCAACCATCTGGACTAACAGTTGTCTGCTCCCCTACCTGAATTTGTAAAGCCTCTACTTCAGTAGTCAGTTTAGATAGGTTAGATAGTTTAGCTTTTTAATTGATTAATTGTCAGGACTCTTGTCTTTGTGTTTCTGTGTGTGTCTCCCTTCATCCACCAGGAGGCGCCTGGTTCCGGTC